TTTGATCAGAATATATTTTTTATTTTCCTGATTTTGTTTTTATTTATTTTTATTCATTTTTGCATTTTTTGCTATTGTCTTTGCCATTTGATCAGCTCAAATAGCAAAGGGAAATAAAAAATGCACATCAAACAAGAGCTCAGGTCTCAAGAGGTTAAACCGCTTCATGTTTCTTGTAATGCTTTATCCTCTTTTATTCCTATTTATTTTGTCTTCTTCTCATGTTCCTTGCCTCTATTCTTATTTTATCTGCCTTTTGTCTGGTTAAACTTGTATTTGCAAAAGTGCCCTATAAATAAACATTATAACTGTTACAGAGGGGCTTCATGAGCAAATATAAAATTTTCTTTTAACGATTTTGACTCCTTTAGGTTGTATTTAGACCCAAGATTACAAAAAAAGGTATGAAATGATCTCAAAAACAAAGAATTCGTCTTAAACCAAACCTTGTTACAGGACAGAGAGCGTTTAAATGGGTGTCAAGAATAATAACAACTCCGATTCAGTGATGAGGTGCTTGGTTTTCGTTAGTTTATTGTACCAGTCCAATGATTTTTTTTTGTTTTTCAAGCAGTCATGTGGATGAATCGTCCATGTCTTCGCCCCTAAACAGAAGCACCTGCGACATTCAGGGCATTAACCGATAAGATCAAACCACTCCTGTCTCATCTACAGTATGTCCAAATAAGGCATGAGGCAAACGTTTTCATTCTTAAACCAGGATAGTTCAAACCAGCCATATACAGTATGACTAGAAAATACATAAATATATTAAAATAACTATTTACAACCGACTAGCTTTGCAAACAATCAAAACCAGTATGTACACAGGAAACCGTAGGCTTTGAAGGCAGCGTCTTCGTACCTTAGTCAGTGCAACAGTAGCTTCATCTCCGACCTATTTAACACGAGATCCATGAGAACGAGCAGCCAAACGACCATTTAACTGAGAAACTAAAAAAAAAAACGGCTGCTGAGGGAATCCTGATCAACAACATGACAATATGTTAAAAGTTGTTTTTTGTTTAAAAAAAACGTGTTAAAATCTGTGATCAGATTTCCGAAATGATTAAAATACATCATTCACATGCTGCAGTTTCCTTATCGTTGATCTCAAGTCCAATAGTTAACAATCGACGAACACGAGGGTAGTCCTATTTAACAGCTGAGGTATTCGATTACGGAAAACTATGATTAGCGACTAAACAAAACACATATCAAACTGCAGAAATTGTTCGTTATCGTTCTCACACTGTTTTCAGCTGAAAGGGGGATTTTCGAGAAGGGACACTGATCAGCCACAACCACTGACAGTTGAGGTGAGTAATATTGATGGTGTCACTAACTTTGAGTTCTGTTCTTCATGTGGGTGTTACTTTTAACACCTACCGCCCACTTCAGAAGTTCTACACCTGTGGCCCAACAGCTCAGAGCAGTTTCGAAGGCGTGTGATAACCGCCTCAACGTTCAGCGCAGGGGATTTAAGGTTGCAGCTCATCAGTGTTTCTATTAAATTATCATGAATGGCACCCTTTAAAAGTCAATGTGTGGCACATCAAGGAAAAAAGATCTAATCCTTACAGCAAAAACGACTTTTGATGCATGGCTTTGTTGGTGTTTTTGTGTCGAGAGCTCAAACTGTGTGTGAACAATGATCACCGACCGAACCAGTAAAACAGCACAGAAAAGTAAACATTTGGCATACCGTACATGTAGGAAGGTGTGTACCAGACATCCCAGAATATGTAAGATGCTTTCAGAAGCAGCAGCATGCAGTCTTCTGCCTTGTTGTTTGTTTTACTCTCAGGAGAGACAAGTGCCGTCAAATATTACACATTGCAAGACACTCGAGGGCCAAGATCTGCAGCATTAGATGCCGGCGATCACTGAGGCCCTTAAAAAATAAATATTTCCTTCCATATACATATCAAAAAAAGGGGAATAAAATATGCTTTGTCACAAAATAAAAATCACGCTTTTTCGAAAACACAACACTGTCCAGCAGAAGTGAGTTTTTCAAGACATGCTGCAACTTTAAAAAAAACCGTCACTAACACTTTAAACCTAACAGATGGATTTAGATTTAAGAAGCGACCTTAAAGGACAGCCCGAGCTTTCTTTTTCCTCGTCTCATCCGCAGGGGGAAAAAGACAGCTAAAGTTGATTGACACTCCTTAGAGACCTTGTGAACCTAATTATGGAGGTACGCTGCGAGGAGAGGAGTGCGCTGTTGTAAAAGATGGAAATAATTGGACTTATCCTACAGAGACCGTCTTTCCAGGTTGGTACGAGGGCAAAATCTAGGCCTTAAGTAGGAAGCCACAGTTCATAAGGGAAGGAAAATAAAACACGCAGAGCCTCTTATTAAAAATGTGCTTCAGTGGAGGAAAAGAGGCGTCTCATTGCACAGAAATGTTTGTAACTTCTGCCTCGAATGACCCTAATTCAACAAGCTTTCTATTTTAAATACCGAAAAGAGAAAAAAAAAAAGCTGCCGAAAAAACCCCAGTCCCTTCCCCCGACCAGGGCCAGGTGCATATCAGGTAACAGTACCATAAATATAGAATTCTTAATACAAATTGTGCCCGTTTAGATTCGAGGCGGAGTGCTCTCTAAGCCCCGCCCCCTCCCCTTCAATGTCACACGAGGCTCACTGCAGCAGACAATATCCACAACAGCCACCCAAAAATATCGATTAGAGCCCTCTGGAAATGAGAACATTTTCACAGTGGATTAGTATGAGTGACAGTGTGAATACCTTATGAGGTATCAAACAGTTCAGTGTGCTCATGCATGCATATACCGCTATAGGCTATATAGGAGCGATTTACAGACAAAAGGAGAGAATTCGACCGTCACCGTGAAAAGTAAAGGCAACCGTTTCCTCTCTGCAGACTCCAGTTCTGTGTGACCAGAGGAGAAATCAATTGGCACAGTGAGGAGTTTAAAAAAATAATTTAAAAAAAGATCTGTCACTCCGCCGGTGACGATGGCGTCGCTCCTGATGCTCCTTAATGACAAAAAGGGTAGAGAACACACACTGCAATGTAGTCAGGGCTTTTCTTTTATTCTCTCCTTCATCCTTTTCAAGTTCAGTCCACTTTGTCTTCCTGTTTTCCGTCCGTTCTCTGTTGATGAAATGTTTTTTCAGATGCACCAGCTGCGACCGAGTCTTCCTCGCTTGTAGTGTGAAAACTCGCCTCTTCGGACCCTTTGGCTTTGGCCCTGCGAGCGTCCAAGTAGCTGACGATAAACTCAGAGTTCTGATAGATGAGCATGCCGGACAACGTGAGCACGGCCCCGGCGCAGCTGAGCGCCGACAGCTCGCTCCCAAAGAGCAGCTGAGACAACAGCAGGTTTCCCACCACGCTCAGGTTGCCGAGGATATGCAGAGTGACGGCCGAGGTGAGCGTGATGACGCAGCAGCTGGCCAGGTTGTACATGACCGAGCCCAGGCAGCTGAGCAAGATGAAGACCCACAGGTGGCGGTCGTAGTGCAGCGGCGACTCCAGCACGGCCCAGTTTTCTAAGGCTAGAGCAGCCACGGCCAGGATGCAGAAGCTAGGAATGGACATCAGGTAGAGCAAGAACACGGAGTTGATCTTCTCCTCCTGAAGCAAAATGCCTGAGTGAACAAAGAAACGTACGCAGCGGTTACAAACATCACACACGGGATGAAACCTGTGAAAACAAGCTTTAAACTACGAGGGAGACGGAGGACAAGGACAGTAACATGTGGTGTGATGGCAGCAACAGTTCTGCTACAACTTCTGAAGAGAAGAAACAAGTTACAGGCAAGGAAAAGCCAGAAGGCAAATAGTGTCACAAAGCATTTCTGACAAAAACAACAAGCAGCTCAAAGCATCCTGAGCTGGAATGTGAGGTAAGCGTTTGAGCTGTTAGCTTCATATTACCACCATCAAAATGATTGCATCAGTTATCTGTTGCAGAAACGCTCCACAGACCGTGATGACAAGGAATCACATCATTCTGTTTTGGTAAACACAGCGATACCTCATGAGCTCATTAAGTGAGCTGCAGGCTGTAATCTGTTTAGATGTGAGCATAATATTAACATATTGTGTGAGCAGCAGCACCAATTATGAGACTTTACGCTGATACATATTCATTTGATTTGATTTTTTGGTGTTAAATTTAGTAATTAGAAGTTGTGCTGTATTGAGATACACTTCCAAGCTTCTAGTTTTTGTTTCCTCTGTCAAACACCACCTATTATCAGCCTCTACTGCTCCTACCTCTAATGCTCAACATACGGAGGACTTTAATGGACTGTTTGCTGACATAACAGCAGGTATCTGTTTTATATAGTCAAAATAACCGAGATAGGCTCTGACGTCAGGAAAATGACAGGGAATTATGCAAATCTCCTTTTTTGCTGGAGGTCTGCAGGCAGCGAAACACATCACACTACTGGTTCGCACGCTGTAAACACTTCATGCTGTTTATTGACATTCAAACCTGTGAAAACCGAGGCTTTGACTCAGCCCGACCCATCAAAGTGTGTTAGAGGAAAAACATAAACTTATAAGGGAAACTGTGACAACAACAACAACAACAACAACAAGTGAGAGAGGATGAAAATAGCTTCTTGAAAACTGAGACAACATCTCAGGATGGACATAAAAGTTTAAGCCAAGATTAAAAATAAAAATTAATGAGCAGCGATAATTTCCATCTGCTGGACCTTGTTTACGCGTTCTGATCCAAATGCAAAGGCAGGACTTGAATTCCGTCCTCTTATTTAACATAGTAAACAAACACACTTGTATTTGCAGTCTTATGCAGTTTGTTCATGGATTTAATGCGATGACCCCTCCAGTCACAAGTTCACCCCGTGCGCCCCTCTGCTCCTCCAGGAACAAAGTATGTGGCATTACATTCCTCTGAGCAAACTGAATATCTGTGTTACGTAACAAATTAAAGACAGGGCCTCTATATATTTTTAGAAACTCACTACTTTCCTCTTTAATTCTCTGACAGCTACGACATTTTGGAGACTAATGACATTAGAGAGCCTAATCTGCTGCTCACACAGACGCTCATCTGTGGCGCAATCGGTTTTCAGAAAACAAGCTTTTAGGCAATTTGTGCAGCTGATGCTTCACAGAAAGCACAGAACATTGGATAAATGAGCACGGCGGAGAAAAGAAGTGAAAGCAAGAGCGAGTTCACATGACATCAATTCAGGAAAAGAATCTGTCTTCGGTGAAACGGCGGCCATAAGCTGAACCTTAAAATGTTGGTTTTCTACTGAAAGCTGCTAATTTACTTTTTCAGTTGGATAATCCATTCAGGAACTGTTCTCGTGTGAGTTTTGATGCATATTTTTTTTATTTTATAGTTATTTTTTTGGCCTTTTTGCCTTTATTTGATAGGGAGAGACAGGAAAGTGAGGGAAGGACCTGCAGCAAATGGCCATGTGCTGGATTTGAACCCATAACCGCTGCGTTGGGGACTATAACCCCAATACATGGGTCACCAGCTCAACCAGTTGAGCCATAGCGGTGGCCCTTTGATGCATGTTTAAAAAGAGAATTTTTAAGTCACTAGAAACAAGACTGCTTCATTTTCTGGGAGTCTTGAACTTCATTTTGACAACATAGTCCAACGAAGAACCCATCATTATGGTGACTCCATTCCAATCAGCTTCTCACTTTGTTTTGGAATGTTCTGAATGCGGCTTGTTCAGAAAACAGAAAGCGAATTTTCTTCTTTTTTTAAATCTGCAAGCATGAAGATAACAATTGTGAAATGTATGCAGCTCTTGCAAGAAGTTCACTCTGACAATGACTAACACCAACAGTCGGACAGGACCGATCAGCCCGTCTCTGGGACATGCCACTCACAGATGTACGCTGGTGTTTGTGTTTGGTTCCCTAAGCAACTGGAAAATATGCCGCTGTGCCATTCAACCTTAATGTGAGGGTGTGTGTTGCTGGTCCGAGGAGTGATTCACCAGACCGTTAAAAAAGTTCCAGAACCACAGAATGCTGCTGCGGCGTCTGTGGAGGAAACCCTAAAATAGCCCCTGATGTCAGTGGTGTGACATACAAGTAGAGTAGTTAGCTTTCTTTAGCTGCAAAATGCAAACTGTTTAGGGTGACAGACAGGTCAGAGAAGCACTCGAACAGACTCGGTAAACGCGGTACTCACTCTGCTGAATGGACTTGACGCCTCTCAGCATGGTCGCTGCAAACACAAAGAAGCAGCCGGTCTGATCGAACTGGACCTCTCCCATTATGCTGAAGGATGCCCCCAGGCAGATGGGCATCATGGCTGTGTACTTGAGGATGTGATGCTGCTTGCCCAGGATCAGCGTGGAGATGGCCAGGGTGAAGAGCGGGGTGGTGGTGTAGATCATTTGTGCAAACGACAGCTGGACATAGTTCAGACCCATGTTCCCGAAGGCGATGCTGGCGCAGAACGTCAGGCTCAACAGGAACACCTTACATTTTGCGCTGGGGGTCAGGTCCTGCTCTCCGGGCCCTCTGTGGCGGATCACCCGCAGCTTCATGAGCCCGTAGTCCACCACGATGGCCGTCAGCATGTGCAGCGCCGACAGCAGCAGCGGGTACCTGAAGTTGTAAACGGCAAATATCCATTTGTTGAGACTGGAGATGGTGGTGCCCGTCACCAGCCAAACAATGACGGCTGACAGCAGATGGAGCATCTCTGCGGGTGGCCTCCTCCTGCCTCTCTGGTGCAGAGTCGCCTCGCATTTAGAGAAGCCATCGGCGCTGATCATGTTCGTATCATGGTCCTCTCTGTAAGGGAAACACATGTTGAGTCCGCGCGTCTCATCTCCGAATGAAATGTGCGACCGCTCCGGAAAGTTTCAGGGCGATAAATGGCGAAAATAACCTACGACGCAGCTGGGTTTTTTTTCCTTTTCTCCCTCCTCTGCGGTGGTTAGCCAGTCTTTGTTGTCCGGTAAAGCTGCGTATTTTTTCAGCACCGCCTATAGCCACGTGTTTCTATTTTGCATGACGGCCCTGGTTGTGTAACCTGCTTTGGCAAAATGACATCTGCTTGGGCAGGAAGACAAGGAGGAGGAGGAGGAGGAGGAGAGAGGAGGAGGAGGAGAGCTGCTCGGGGGCGGGCAGCGCAGGATTGGTTCTGATCCGGACATGCGGCACCGGACTGGCAGTGACGAATCAGTGTGATGCACCAAAAAACAGCCGTAAACATCAACTTAGGTGCCGGATGTCCCGGTAACGAGAATATTACACAGCAGCCCACACGTTTCTTTTTTTTTTTTTACTCACTCTCCTCCGTGTTGGCTTTAAATAGCAGCTGACTTCACTGCCAAGGGGAGATCTTGTGATTCATTTTCTGGAGCAAAGGGAAACCCAAACAGCGAGCCGCCTGTTACACCGCGCTGCTAGCTAGTCGCACAGCGGTTAAAGTTACCGTTTCATTCACGGCGCTTTTGAATTGAAGCCAAAAACGGCGGCGCGTCTCCGTTAAACAAAAGCAGAACAGTGCTTGTGCGCACAGAAATAGAAGATAAAAGTGGGCTCAGCTTGCTGACCTCTACTGTGGTCCGTCACTTGACACCGGGGCGGCTAAATGTCTTTCTGCTCTTGGCTAACGCTGTCCTGCTAACGCTAGCTAGCCTCTGTGGGTGAACACAGTGAGGACTGGAGGTAGCGCTGCGTAGCTAACGGTCGCTTGTTAGCTAAAAACAAGCCGTTTCTCCCCCTCTTGACATGACGCGGTGTGAGCCGTGAATATTACACACACACACACCTCAGTGGCATTTTATCACAGTTTAAAGCCTCTTTGTTTTTTACCTTGTCCTCGGAGCACTGGCAGCATCCCCAAATCAGTCGGTCACCGCGCTTGTCAGCCGAACCGAGCCGGAGGACGCATCTCGGTGTCATTGGACGGTTCAACTTAAAGGGAAATGCCGCTCATTTAGCTGAGGCTTTATTCTGGGAAAGGTGCGACGTGAACGCATCATTTCCTTTGTGCAGACGTGTGGAGGGCTGGAGGATGAGTTCAGGGTGTGTTTGCGTGTTTACAGACTAGTGACAGTAAATGAAAGTAATAAATGAGTGGAGAAGTATTAAAAAAATGCAGAGATTATATACAGGTGCACAATACAGTATTTAACATCCAGTAAGATAGCAATTTCTAACCTTTTTTTCTATGTTTATCACCTTGATAAATACCATAGTTTATATATATATGTACAAATATAGGTATATTTATTAAACAATAAATCTGCACTTTATACTCTGCACTATTGCACTTTGTACTTGTGTAATGACAATAAAGTTTAATCTAATCTAATCTAATCTAATCTTGATCTCTCACTACTTTACATGCAGTGATATATGTTTCTTATACATTTAATGGCATATAGCTTTTTAGTCTTTTTCTTTTTTTAACTTCTATGCATTAAAACTGTTTGTGCAAGATATATTTATTACTTATATAGCTAATAATGCACCCACTATTTTTTACATGCACTGATTTTGGTTTAACTTATGTTCTGTCCTATTCTCTGTTTTGTAGCGATCTTGGGAGGCGGTTTCGTTCAACCATACACCTTGAGTGTAGAGTTAGGAGGACAATAAAGTTGGCTTAACTTGAAAACACTTTTAAAGAGAGTACATTGTTGGGGAACAGATGGCAGGAACTTCAGTCACGCTGACTGCTCCACTGGTGTTTGAATTGGTGGGAACAGCGACTAAAGTGACATCTGGATTCAGGTCTATGGGGAAAACATCTGTAAATGAGATCTGATATTTGATGACCGTGATGTTGGTGCATTGATGTGATATGTAGCCTGAGGAACAACTGAAAGGCAGCTCGTCTTCCTCAGGTGACAGGCAGCGACAACAGATGCACAGAGAGGGAAGCTGCCGCAGGTTCCCAGTCTATAAACCCTCATTACGACGACAGATATGGTCAAACAAGTAAGTCTTGTTCTCGACAACTGAGTGAACCCTACAGTAAGATGATCCGGTGCTTCTGTTCTGCTGTTGGGGGCATTTGTTTGGGTCCACTTGTCCCCTTAGAGGGAAACAGTCACGGCAAATCAATACAAAACTGTCCTGAGTGATCACTTTTATCCTCCTGATGGGAGTGGTCTCTTCTAGGATGATATCCTTTGGGTATGGGAGGTAATCGTTTGATGTAAATCAGATGTTATGGCCTTGGCAGTCACCAGATCTCCACCTAACTGAACACCTATGGGAGGTTTTGGACCGACACTCTCCACCACCATCATGAAAACACCAAACCAGGGATTAGAAAAATAGCGTTTATCCTTCTTTAGGCTTGGAAAATCAAAGACAAGGTGATTTGAAGCTGTTCTGGCAGCCTATCTGTAAACAGCAAGTATGGTTTCATCCGCAAAATAAAAATAAATACGTTCATATGTTTGGTAATTCATAGTGACAGTAAAATAAACAGCAGTGTATTATTTCTAGACACTCTTTTTTTCCCTAAATGAGGCGGAGTTTGAATAATATTGTCTGTGTGTTTGGTGCAATATCAAAACCCATAAATCTTGAAAAACATTACGAGTGGATGACAGCAGCCTTCAGGGGAAAGTGACGGTATAAATCATCACGAGTAAATGACTCAGTTCAGTGAGTTCCCCTTTACTTACTGCCAGGCAGAGAGATTACTTAAACAGCTAATTGATTTCATCATTGCTACATCAGGAAATTAGGTGTAAATAGTGAGCAGAGAGGAGAAGCTAATTAGAAACCATTTAATTTGTTGTTTGATGAGAAGCTGCCGGTTTGTTATTTTGGACTCTTGACAACAGCCCAGAACACAGACATCGTCCCAAGAGAACCTTATTGTTGTTTTGGAAGACGCTCAGCTTCTTCATCGTTTGTCCCTCGTGAGATAAACCACGTCAACAACATCGCTTTGACAGTAAACGACAACCTAGAAGCAGCTTTATGTTTTTTTATTTGAGCTCAAAAATGTCAAATTTCTGAGGTAATTGGGCACAAAAGGTGAATTCACATCATGTTTTCAGTAAGAATCCACAAACGGTTAGCTAGGTGAAGAGGCTTCTCACTACGGAAATGCATGAGCGCTCTGAAACCATGCATAGCTATATGTCGTCACGGAAACCTTGGAGTTATGTAGCATCGGGTGAACACAACATTGTGCTTTATTTGAACATCTTATTTGCATCATTAATATTAAGTATATTTGTAAATAAAACTTGGATTCATAGTTTAATCTCCTCATTTACTGGTATACAATCTTCACTCCATTTAAGACTACGTATATACAAGTAGAGATTAACCAGAAGATGAATATTCAAGTAATGTGAAACAATATTCTCCTACAGTGATTATACATGAGGTGCTTCTATTTCTACTATATTCTTGCTATGTACAGGCCAAAACCAGTCAGGCAGTCAAACATGTGCGTCATGCCCTGTTATAATACACAGTAAGCTATAAATAAACAGGTAGTCATTGATTATAGAGTGTATGTATTCACTACTAATGTACATCAGTGCCTGTTTTGCACACAAAAACCTCAGGAAATGTATTGTGAAGTCATTCCTTAACTGTCTTCTCTGATGTGTATGAATTAGATTTTTCACATAATCTAATAAGTTACTGGAACATAATATTTGGGCTGCGTAAAACATGTCTCTGACCATGGAGGTGTTTTTTTTTTGTTTCCTCAACTGACTATGAAGCTTGTGTTATTGCTGACATATGCAAATGAAGCCACACAGATTTCTCAGATGGGAATCCCAAAAAAAAAGCTCAGCGGTTTTATATAGGGAGTGACAAGTTTGTTGCTACTTTCCAAAGCTGATAAACCCTGACATTACAAAAAAATTAAATAAAAATCACCCACATGTAAGTCTCCTCAAAAGAAAAAGAAAAAAAAAACAGCCTGCCAGATTGCTATAATCTGTACAATTCATTTCAGTGTAGTAGTTATTTGGGACTTACAACTTTATTACATAATTAAGGCTAAAATTACCATCAAGCACCAATATAATCCCTTTGCTGAGGAAAATCCCAGCCGAGCAGGTTTATACTTCAGTGGAACTCTTAACGGTTGAGTGTCAAGATATTTGAAGGCCCTTCTCCTTCAAATACTTCAAGAACTAGTGCACTTCTACAAAGTCTGGAGACTTTATAAAAGACTGTGAGTCAGTGTTGTTAGCGGGTGGACCAGCCAGAGGCAAATTTAAAAAAGAATTGTTTAAACACGTGTAGCAGAAGCAGCAATGTCCTGAATTTTAGTTTAATTCCTGTCATGTGAGTCAAGCTCGAAAAAATGCTGGATCCTACATTTACCACAATGCAACCCAGTGGCATTCTTAGTTAGACTCAGCCCAGTAAACCTTTTTGTAATCAGTCAAGTGATGTTGCTTCAGTAACTCAACAAAGCTCCGGGCCAGTGCAGACAGATATAAGTGCTTTCCATGGGGTGTGAAGTGCTCTCTGTTCTTACTAACTGAAACATGTAAAACAGGGGGAGTGCAGCTTTAAAACAACATGAAACATAACTTCCAAGATCGTTGGAGAAGCAGCGGCGACCTGTAAAACAGCTTGACGTTCCCAGTCAGTTGTCCATCCAAAGAGATTGACATCTACTTTGGTAGCTGTTCTTTAGAGCCCAGCCAGGCGTTAACTTTAAATCCTTCAAGATACAATTTGTGCAATTTTAAGAAACAGAGGAATACAAAATACCCAAGATTCGTTGGAGGAGGGGGATCAATAAATGAAGTTCTGCAGAGAAATCCTGTTAGGACAGAAAAAGGCTTCTGAAAGCCCGGTGTCTCTGCCAGAGCCCAACAAGGAACAACTTGTTCCAGTTTTGAGGAAAACAAGACATTCAGTGCTCGCACCAAAACATCCACAGCACTCCTTGCCCCCAAGTTATTCCGTACACACTCGATGAAGTGTGTTTCAGTGAAGAAACCTTTTTCTCTGTCAAGCACAGGTCAGTCACACACACACATACACGCAGGCACACAAGAACTCTGTACATACTGTACACATTATACTCCCATAAACTGGTTCTCTACAGTGGTGAAGCGTACACATGAACTGAGGCCATGCATTCTGGAAACACTGAGCGGAAACAAGTAAGTTAGAAAGTGAAAGCAGGGGGGTTTTTGTGCTTGAAATTCTAGGAATGAATCGGTGCCTCACTCACCCACACACATGCACGTCCAAGCTCACACAAACAACTATCCATAGATCCGAAGAACTCTCACGTCACGAGAAACCGCTCGGCCTGACGCCACAGTGCGAGATCAATGTTGTCCTAGAAGATCTCGGGACACTGGCTCCAGTCCTGTCTGTCTTTGGCCTCCCAGTAGCCGCCTCTGTAGGTGTAGGTACTTTCTCCTGTTCTGTCGTCCGTCCTCTTCTCAAACCACAGTGGCTGGTAGCCCTCGATGTCTTGCCCTGCTAACACACAATCACGTACAGGTTTTCAGATCTTCACAATGTCTTTCTTTTTCAGTGCAGTCTAAACATCACACAGCCTTTGTTCTTGGTTTAAGTTTCTTTACCAGTTGCAGGATTAGGTTTTTGCTGTTGCCTACAATCAAAGACTAAAGCACCAATCATAACATATATAGACTTATCAAAAGCCCTTCTATTCTGAAAGTGTGAACGACGTATAAGGTTCTGTGTCCACTTAGTGTTTCCCGTTAAGCGCCGGCATTATTTCTTTCAGTTGTTGTGCAGCTGCTCAGAGCACTTCTAGCTAACAATCTCTTAACGTTATCATATGGTTTTGACTAGTCCTGACAACAAAGAAAATGGAGGAAGAGCTTGTTCTGGCCATGTGAGTCTATCCTGAGCTGCACGATATGTCGGAGTCTACCGTTCAACAGCAATGAGACCGGTGATTTGTTGTCACCATATTGTCATAGAAACAAAACTCAGCCCAGCAGTTTCTTGATGTGATTAAATGCTCCCCAGTGTCCTGCCAGCACTTTTATACCACAGAAAAACATCTAAGAGCTCTAAGAGGTAAAAGTCAGAGTGTCTGTCATCACTCTTCTTGTTGCTTTCCTTGTACTCACCTTCCTCCAGGGCCTGATTAGCTTGTGCCTCCCTTCTCTTCCTCTCTATTCTCTGCCGCTCCTCTAGGCGCTGCTTCTGGCCGTTGGCTTCGTCCCACAGACCTGCCTCCATTAGCCGCTGGTCCGGACGCAGACGACTGTCAGTGGGCGCAACACCGTCTTCTGGCTCGTTCAAGGTCAGAGCGAGCGAGGAGAAAAAGTGCATGTTCTCTGCATTATCTCTGGAGAGCGAGAGATAAAACAGACAACTCATTATGACAAAAGGTCAAACGGAGGGGAAACAGAGACAGGAACAGGAAGATCCTAGAGGGGGAAGGTTGAAATAATGCATTCAATCATCAAGATGTAGTAGAAACGTGTTTTTATGATAAACATACGGGAGAGGATATTTCTTCCACAAAAGTTTGGGCTGCAAAGTCTGATAAACAGTCTTTTGTTTGCCTTCAGAGCCTCCGCAGCCTTGGCTGCTGTCCACTATTTTAGAACTTTCCATCTTGTCGTCCCAGGTCCCTGACAGGATGTAATGGGCTGTGCCCTCTCTGTCCTCCACCACTCCTGTCACCTGGGGACACCAAAGAACAGGACACACAGGAAGAGATCAGTTACATGCACTCTCTGACTGCTAGGTGCTGACACAGTCAAAGCTGGATACCATGTTCATTCCTTGTTTGCTTATGTTGATGCATCATCTAAAACAGAACAATTATTCCACAGATTACATGTACAAATATGTGTACTCTCCTGGGTTTCTTATTAGCTGATGAGTCAGTGACTTTGAAAGTTAATGCTGATATCATGACACAAGCAGTCTTTGGGAATAACACATCCCTCGAGGGTTTTCTACACTGTTAAGCCCAAAGCATTAAAGACACAAGATTCACAGTGAATACTAAGCAAGAGTGGAGCTAGATCTAGGTAAACAGCATTCTAGATTCTTTGCACAGGCATGTGTGCTTGTAAACTTTTCACCCTCTGGCAATTATCAAGTTGTGTAACTGCTGTGACATCTGAATGAAGACACCCAACAATTAAGTCTGTTGCTGCATGACAAGGTATGACAGACATGCTGGGGATGATGTTGGACAATAAACGTAAACCATTTTCACATATTTTGGTTTTGTCCTGGAAGTGTGCGGTTTATACGATTACTGTCGAGTTTCTGAGCTATCATACAGTTAAGTCATGTATAGGACAGCACTTTGGTAACATAAAATGTGTTAAGAGAAGACAAACATATGATTAAAACCATGTTAGGAGCTTGCAAAAATCCCTTCGGTAAGAGATGGTACAAGGCAGAAGCATCAAAACAAGGTGAGTGGCTAAAATTTGTGAATGAAATGTACGATATGGCGCAGTTAACCTATGGGCTATCAGCTGAAGAGGAAGTATGTTGGGATCATGTTTGCACGTCAGTGACAAGTTACAAGAATGAAGTCACAGGAATGAGTTGGTTTTGTGGGCACAGGGCAATCCAGACATTTGGATGTATTTTTATTTTATTTATGTTTTAAATCTTTGTGATATTTTTGTAATGGAGATAAAATGAAAGTAAAGGTGGATCTGACTTACTTTACGCGGGACTTCTCTGGAGAAGTAACTGTAGGGGGAGAATTTGAGACGGCAGGTGTCTTTGGTGGTGGTGTTTACAATGTCGATGTCCCCAGACTGCCAACAGCAACAGACAGGAAACCAGCAAGAAAAACAGATGTGACTTCAAAGTGTATGGAGACTAAAATTACTTCCCTCTAGCAACGCAACACAAATATATACACACAATAATCACTGACACTAAGCAGTTGTAATTCCTGTCAATTTTGCCTTTCTAAACAGTAATTTCCTTTTTGTCCGTGCATGTCTCAGAACATGCACGGACAAGAGCTTCTTTCTTGGCCACTGAGAGGAACTCACCTGATCAATCCAAAGCTTCCCAACAATAATGTTGTGCACCGTCGACGTCACTTTGCTCCACACGTAGTGGTTTCCACTCGAGTGAAACTGCAGGTGAATGTTTCCTGTGGTAATGAGGCAAACACCACTCACACATTTAGATCACATCTGACTTGTAGTGGTATTTCTGCTAATACATATCGATTGCCATCTTGAGCAAATTCCTTAGTGGGTTTTTCTTACCTAACGGCACGACAGAAATATATTTCCCACGAAACTTGCTGTCAATAGTGATATGCTGCCACAGGGTCCATCCTCGCTGTGATGTCACATGGTGGGCAGCAGCTGGTGGATGATGACTGACCTGAAAGTAAGTCAGCTGGTGTCAGTGGAGGCAATACAAACATATCACACTGTCTTTATGTCTTTCTCTCTTCACCAAAGGGTAATCTGAGCTCTTTGTGTGCAAAATAGCTGAGTAAAGATGTGTAAATACAATTAAAGTTGGATAAGTTTTTGTCTTGCCTGCTCAGAAATCGAGCGATAACCATACTCATCCAGTCGGTCCAGCTCGTAAGTCTCCCCCAGCAGAGGGTTGAAGGGTTTGGCTGTACGATGGACCGTGGTGGAGTAAGAGGAGACAGAAAAGGCAGCCACCAGACACATCTGCTCCACGGACGAGTCGCAGCGAGCGGCCCGGTCCAGGAGCTCGCTGTACTCCAGATCCTCAGTCAGACGCTGCAGCATCGACAGCGGCTCGTTGAAGTTTACCTGCAAGCAGACACTCAAGATTTTAGAAAAGACGGGTTGGTGCGAAGTGTTCCACCGGTATCACACCTATTTACTAAAAAAAATATTTTGTGGTCATTTGTGGGGCGTACAGATATGTTTTTCACTTACAGGCATGGGTATCTTGGACAGGTCTTTGCCGATGCAGTTCTTCATGATGCTCCACAGGTTTAGAGAGTAATTTGGTTTGTCAGGAATACGACTGCGTCTTGTTCTTCGTAGCTGCATGTGGTTTGTGCTTGAAGTGTCCTGCAAGAAATATGACAAAACACAAAGCCTTAGTCTAACAAAAAAAGAGAAACACACAACTGTTATTAAGATTAAGTGTATTTCAATAATACCAGTATGCATGTGACATACATTCTCATTGTGAGTCCAGTCATTGGGCACTCCTCCGCTCATCATACTCTGATTACTCCCTGAGCGCCTGAGAGAAAGCAACATGCTTTAGACACAGTTCTAAATAACAATGGCTAGAACACGGCTCAGAGATTACTGTGTCTAGAGGTGATGTCTCTTACTTGTGCTTTATGTCGCCAGTAGTCACAGTTATGAATGCAGGGGAGTCCTCCATGGCATCGAAGAACTCTGCCTCGTCATTCTCATCGCTTGCATCCCCCTCCTGAGAACGCTCCACACCTACAGCATCAAAAACAGGACAGGTTAGCTGAAAGTTTTCAACCTATAAATACTATACATACTATAGTGCTGCTATACAGAAACATAACAGAGATGAACTGACGACACGGCTGCTGTGGGGCTCATCTCCCACAATGACGAGCAGGCCTACAGGACGGAGGTCATCCACCTGGAGAACTGGTGCCAGGAGAATAATCTCCTGCTGAATGTCAGCAAAACTAAAGAACTGATTGTGGATTTCAGCTGGAAACAGCAGAGGGTCTTCCATCCACTCCGCATCAGTGGATCTGAGGTGGAAAGAGTGGACAGCTTTAAATACCTAGGTGTGACAATCACACAGGACCTGTCTTGGTCAGTTCACATAAAGACCACTGTAAAGAAGGCCAGACAGCGTCTCTTCTACCTCAGACGCCTGAGAGACTTCAAGCTCCTGCTCACAGTGTTCAGGAACATTTACACCTGCACCACTGAGAGCATCCTGTGCGGGAGCATCACCACCTGGATGGGCAGCTGCACCAAGCAGGACTTCTTGGCCCTCAAGAGGGTGGTTCGTTCAGCTGAGCAGACTATCAGATCCACTCTCCCTAACCTGCAGGACATTTACATACAGCGATGCAGGTCAAGGGCTGTGAAGATCCTGAAGCAACCTAGCCATCCTGGAAACTCTCTCTTGTCCCTGCTGCTGTCAGGCCGATGCCATCGCTGCCTAAAGACTGTAGCTGAGAGTATGAGGAAGAGTTTCTCCCCTCAGGCCATCCGTTTGCTCAACTCTGAGCCTTAAACTGGACTGTAATGCTGTACACACTGGCACCTTTAAATATTTTTGCACCTTGTACAGCACATATCACATGTTCCATTTGCTTTATTTGATTAGATTTTAGTTTATTTTATTTATCTGTGTATATATATATATATTTCTTGAAAACTTTAGGTTATTTTATTTATTTATTTATTTTTGCAACTGGATGCAGGTACTAAGCACATTTCACTACACATTGTACTGTGTATAATCGTGTATGTGACAAATAAAGTTTATCGTCATAGAATTAACACTTCACAGGTGTATGCTCCTGCCAACCAGTCAAGCTGCAGTTTACATCAATGCCTGTCCAGCCTCATATTTGTGTAGTGAAGACTTTCCAATGTGTAAGTTAATTAAGAACAACAAAAAACTGAGTCCCTGCATGTGTCTACATGTTTGGCCCATAAAGCCACAAAAGTCATTTGAACCAAAGTGAAATATGGTCTCAAGCTTTCCTTCTGTTTCTGAGTTATGCTGTTAAATAATGAAGTACAAAAAATGTGTGTTTGCAGAACATTATGATGCCACAGTGAAGCTGACCTTTGACCGACTCAGTCTAACTTCAACATGTCATCACGTCGTCATTATATCCTGTCAGATGTTTGTGTAAAATTTTTTCATGATTACTGTGTTGCTTACAGCTAAAAATGTGGTTTGACCTTAGACTGACAAATTCTAAACAGTTCACCTTTGAGAACAAGTGAACATTTGTGCTAAATATGAAGAAATTCCCTCGAGGCGTTCCTGATATATTGCATGCACAAGAATGGAAAGGACGGGCATGCCAAAAATATAAAGCCTCCAACCACAGCTACTGTCAACACGGAGGCCGCAAATGATTTACAAGATTGTTCAAGCTCATAACATTTTTATTCAGGCCTAATTCAACTTGACTGTCATCCCTTAGAGACTTTCAAAGTGATGGGACACAAGTTATTTGGCCTATTTATAGCTCGGTCATATTTGCTTGACGCTGTGCTGTCTGCGAGTTTGAATGTCTGAAGCAAATTATTATTCAAATTACTGGTTTATCAGCTTTTGTAACTGAAATTTAAAGTAGTCGCTGCCTTGATTCTAGCAGTGTCAGCTGTAACCGTTGCGAAATTATGTAACGTGCTTATGAAAACAGTCTAACAATCTATGAGGTTGTACCAAAAATGTGCTGACAAAAGCCAACAGCGACCAAAAAAAGACTCTTAGCAACATTGTTTGGAAGGCAGACAGTAAGATATTAGCTTTACGAACTCAAAATGAACACATGTAACAATAAAACATTATAACTCAAACTTAAATGGCAGTTTAACACACCTGTTTGACTACTTTTTCTGTCCAACTGCACTAAAAATGTGTCGTAAATCTGACTAAGTGACATTTCTGTGCCAGTAATGCATCACTACTACTGGCCAGAAGAGGGCCACAGTCTGTGACACTGATGTTACACAGAAAAGTCAGGATGTCTAGTAGCCAGAAGGTGATGTGTCTCACCTGTGTATGAGGTGGGATTCTCCCTCCAGGCTCTCTCTAAGCTGTTGTGCTGTTTGGCTAACTGTTCGATGGTCTCCTCCAGATGGTGACGCTGTTCTCTCTCATGCTGCAGGGCCTTTTGCCACCTCCGACTGTGAGATTCTGCCACATCCAGAAAGTCACGACAAGCCTGAAGTGCGAACACAGCACACACACATCAAAAGGACGCAGGCAGTACCCTCCAGCTACAGTCCCTCATTTAAAGTGACATTTGCAACTGATCGGGCTCCAATTTACGGCGGCCGTATAACCGGCGGAGGACTTCAACTGCGTGAACTCACATTGATCATAGCATTGGAGGTGATGCGGAAGAGGGTGGCTCGCTCATTAACAGCTTTCACTTTGTCTGTGCTGTCAGTGGATCCGCGCAGATCCTCGAGTTCGCTGAGGGAGCGCTGGAGGGCGGCACCGTGCTTTCCTATCAGCTCATTACAGGTGCTCAGGTCGTCCAGCTTGCTGGCCAGAGTCTTGAGCACCCCTTGGGTTAGGGCACGGTCCTCCTGAGGTACCGGGGCTTCATCTCCTGAGTCATCTTCACAAAGAGACAAACAAAGTCGGAACCTAAATTCAATAATTCACCAAGGACACTGGGGGTATCATTAGAGGGATTACAGGTTACTAAGTCTGAACAATGTGGGCGTTTAGGGGAGGTGAAATTATATACTATAGTAAACAGTGTATTACAGCAATTAATGTCTCATCAGACAGATTGAGAAAGATATTTAAAATCGTCTAATTTTAGACGGGTTGGGAGCATTAGTGGGGAACGGATGGAGGAAGATGATAACACTTCACACCCTGATCCCCCCACAACCCTTCCTCTACACAAGATTGGAAAGCTGTGAATGAACACTGTTGCCCTGGAAACGTCGGCCTGTGCAATCAGGAGGCAAGGCTATTTTTAGAGGAAGAGGGAGAAAAAAAAAAAAGATGACGCACTACCCTTTTTCTCCTCTCCTTCTCTCTCTCTATACCCCTTGCTGGCATGAGCTGAGCCATCAGTCTTGAGGATTTTCAGAGGAGCGCAGGGAGAGTGAACTGATTACCAGGCATCACAAGAAAAAAAAAACTATGACACTGATTTTAAAATTCTTTGACAACTTAAAGCCTTAAAGTTATTTGTATTTCCCTTATTTTTTTTTTGCTCAAAATACAGAAAGTTTGTCTGTATCTGCTCTCACGTGCTTGCATTTTTACATGAATCCAACATAGCAGCACAAAGAAACTGTTCTTCCCAGTCTGACATATTTGGTACTTGGGATATTCCCTGTGTGTTCAAGCACATTCTGAGGCTTTGAATACAGCTCATCCACACAATATGTGTTAGTAATCATGGACCTACTGAAGAGTCTGTGGGTTGGAGAGCGTAATAGAGCAAACTGTGCTCCATTAAAGCCTCTTAGTGAAAAAGGCATCAGTGTAAAAAAAAAAAAAAAAAAAGTTGGAGAGCGTAATAGAGCAAACTGTGCTCCATTAAAGCCTCTTAGTGAAAAAGGCATCAGTGTAAAAAAAAAAAAAAAAAAACAAGACCTAGATTTATAGACAGTTATAAATGTCAACACAAATAATCCAGCTTTAAAATGCATATAACCGCCTCCACCCTATGTAATTAAACTTTTCTAGGTCAGAACATTTCTTCTAGGGCAGCGTAGCTACGAGTACCTAACGCGTGGAGACGAACTGCTGCACTCCATCAAAGGGGGAAAGAAATAAAAACAATCAGGGCAAACTGGATTAACAAAGTCTCTGGAGGAGAAGATTAAAAAAAAAAATGAGAGGGTGAAAAATCCTTCAGGCATCTGTAATGGTTTCATGACCCACATGTAGCCGAGAGAGAAATATCTCACTTGACTTTTGGTCAAAAGTGTTAAGACACTAGATTATGAATTTGAGATCTGGAGCCATCTGCCATCCGACATGTCTGTAGGGAAGAGCACACCCTTAATACTCATCCGTGGAATAAAAATGTCCAAGCAGGGCAGAAGCACACCGGTCTAGTCTGTACACTAATGGGCTATTCTTCACACAGGACACCGGAGAGTCTGAGACCAATTGGTGACTCATCGTTGAATCATAAAAACACACCCACAGGTGATAGAGTGAGCATCAGTATGGACACAGTGTGGGAAGAGAGAATCAGAGTTAAGAATCAGGGGATGCACTGTAAGCTCCTGCGATACAGACGAAGCATTTCAAGTCCGACTGTGATGTGCTGAAAGCTTGCTGTAGCACGGACAGAGCTGAGGTGTGTTGTTTCATCCATGTAAACAGCATGTTAGACTTTCACCTTGTATTTGTTAGCCACTGGAAAGACAGCATACTTATTTATACATACAAGGTAAAGCTGGTAGTGGTCATGTGATAAATACTACAATACAGGTGCCTCATAAGTTCTGCAGCATCCACTTAATTACAGCTGCTCTAATCCACTTTCAGTCAATTAATTTCCCTGCTACTAAGCCCATAACTAAAAGCTCATGCAGTGATAATCTATAATCACATCACACACTTCACCAAAATACACAAGGATTTGCCTCAGCTCAGCTTTTCGAAATTGTGTGAACCAAACGCAAGTAAATAACATCCAGATTCTAAATCTGTGGTGAAAATGACTGACTGAAAACAGTCAAGACAAACATACACTAACAACATTCTAGACACAATTTCTAAATCGTGAAAACCCTTTAAAAAGAGAGCACAGCTGTGTCTTCTATATGGACTCAGCTCTTTAAATCCTGTTTATTATTTTAGCTGTAATCACCATCGTTGAGGCAAAATCTACCAGTAGACACAGCATGAGCACCTCCGAACACATCATACACTAATATGGTTAGAGTGACACAAAACCCTGATTTGCATCTCGCAGGTGCAAACCTCTTACTGAGCATTAAAGGGTGCTTACAAGTGCACACCTCTCAGTAATGATGCCTGGAGCAGCTGTGATAATCCTGAGAAAAAGTTGGATTTAAATTAGGCATAAACAAATAAGACAAATGAGCCTCATTCGACTGAGTAGTGACCTCGTCTGCTGTGACTTTGAAAATTACGATGCCATTTTGTTTACTTCAAAGCAAAATCACCACTAATGTTAAATTGCCAAACTTACAGAACTCAAAAAAACAGACACACCATAACAATTACAAACAAACACATGGATGCAAGCGGGCATGCAAGCACACAGCTTCTATCTTAATTGTTATTCTGCTCTCATCAAAAATAATTAACAGGTTACTTACAAGGTGACACTCAATGGAAAGGCTGCACTCATGTCTCCCTATTGTCCACAGAGTGTGTGGTGAAAAATATTTTCAATGAAAATCCTCACACCCTCCTGCTCTTTCTCTTTTTTTTTTACTCCTCCTGCTACCAGAACAGGAGGAGGAGTCTAAAGGAAGGTCATTTCATTCAGCACTCACTGTCGTCATACTGAAGGAGACCGGGAGGGAGGAAGGAGACAAGAGTAGGAGGGAGGCGGGAGCTGCATATGTGTGCACATTTGTGCAAAGGAGAGACAGACAAAAGACAGAGAGAGAGGAAAAAGCCCTCTGTGTATCTTTGCTCCAGGTTCTTTTTATAAACATCCACAAGTCAGGCTCGACACCAGCAAACAGAAAGATGCTCACAGACTCATAGGATATAAAACATTTTGAAATATTTTATATTACAAGGTCCACCAGTAAAAATAAATGAATAAATAAAGAGTGTTGTAAGGATGACAGCCAACAGAATATGTAATTTAACATGACATATAAGGATTTTTCCGTTTTGCCATTATTCACACCCTCGCCCCCAACAGGCTGCTCCCATTGGAACACATTGAATTACACTGCCATCTTGTGTCTTGATGTTTACACAACACTGAAGGCTGAGAAACACAACACGCATCTAGGTAAGTGGGTCTCGGTTGCATGAGCGTGCATTCAGGTTACAGCTAAAATTAGTTTGACGACTTCAGACTTTCTCAAGTGAACCATGCTGTTCCTTTGAAGCACGTATTCTGGGACATTCTGCAGTTTTTTTTTGTGCTAAAGGAACAACAGATGTATCACTCAACAGATTAGAAAAGGGCTTTAAGATGTCCTATTATTTCTTTAATCCAGGACGATGCTGTGTGTGAACAGTCACAATGCATTAGTGAGGAATCCAGTTAGATATTACAGCCAATACTCCACCACAACACACAGCAGGAAGACAACGGTATAAAACATCCGTCTCACCTGAGTGATGCATCAGGAGCGTGGCGTTGGCCTTGGCCTGCTGCAGGGCTGACACCCATCTCTGACACTCTCCCTCTGAGGTGGCCTTCAGGTGGTAGCTTCGACCCCCGCTGGTCAACACCAAGTGGCAGGTGTCGCCCACCTCGATGTGGGCTGTTGCCAGGGGAATGGTGCCCCTGCATGTGTGTGCCATCTCTGCATGAGTCCTGAGGGAAAATAAACCGAGTGAATAGTCGTGTGTGAGTGCAGGACAGAAGAGGAACACTACAGGCTCTCTGCTCAGCTCCAGGTGCTGCATTTACAAAATGAGGCAGCTCCATTTTAAAGCACTTTACTGTTAAAATAGCATCCTACAAGCTCTGTAAAAAAAAAAAAGAAGAAAAGTCAAGCCTTCAGGATGGAGTGCTGTTCAGTAGAGACAAGCCCTGGACTATTCCTAATGTATATCTGCCAGGAGACAGGCTTTGGACAATATGTACTGGAACAGCTACTTCACATAGTCAGACAGATTTTCTACATTGTCATTCTGATGCTTTTGCAAGGAGGTGCTCCAGCAAGTTCTGCAAATGACTCACAGTAGAAATCATAGAGAAGATACACATTTTATAACATCATGTACATACGAATTTAACATTTAAGGTTAAAATGACACATTCAAAATATGGCACTGTTCCTCATCTACATCAGTTATTTATGTCTATATATTGAAAACATATTGAACTGAATAGTACAGCCATCTGCTATATACTGGTTTACGTTAGGCTACATATGTATGATGAACAATGCCATTTGGAGCATCTCTGTTGATTATAATCACTGCTTTTTCTATTTATTTATTTATATGGCTATATTTGTGTGGCTATTTCGTTGACACTGAATTTTAACAATTTACACGGTGAAAAAAAACAACGAAAAAAAAAGCTAGTTTAGCTTAAAAATGCAGCTAACTGCTTAGCTTAAAAAAAGCTAGCTGCGTTAGCTAATTAATCTACATAATTAATTACATAGCTTAGCATAATTTGAAATCCTCATTAAATGAGTACTTTGGGACACTAAGTTTGCTGTTAAATTTGTATTATTCACAGTTTATGAATTTTAATTTTGTAATTATGACTCAGGTTTTTTTTTTTTTTTCCAGTTATCAAACAGGCATTTGTTGGGGCACCCCATCACCTGCCAGCTAAAGTTAAAAGTTTGATTTCCTCCCTTATGAATAATTAAAAATAAATCACTTTTTTTTTTTCCTCAACGTGCTGCTAACAAGTTTAATTATGATTAACTTTGACATTAAAACCCGTGTGAACACAGCTGTCGGGCACCACCGGGCGCCGGAGCCGTTAAGTTACCGTCACCTGTAGTAGGACAGCAGGCCGTTACTGAGCACGAACCACCGCCGCTGGTAGCCCTTCAGGTAGTTGGTCCATTTAAAGAGCCAGCCCTTGTAGGTGTCCAGACACGGGAGGTGCAGCCCGGGGAGAGTCGGGGAGGGCAAACTCTTCACCAGCTCGTTCATTTCTCCCCCCCTCACTTTACTTCTTTCCTCCCGGCCGGGGACGACTGCACGGGGAAGGCGTTGGAGTTGCCGCCGCCGCCGCCTGTCAACCAGCTGCGCGGTGTTTTTAGCTAGCAGCGGCGGAGAGGCTCAACTGTACCGCACTGACTGTACCCGACACGGCTACTGTTAGCATGCAGCTGGTAGGTGAAGCGGTGTCTCCCTCCCTCCTCCTCCTCCTTCTTTAAACCGCTGTAACAACTGTCACTAAAACACTAAAGGCTGCTGCTGCTGCTGCTGCTCTAAGCTCGGACGGAACAACATTATGGCAAGTTGACTGTAGCAAGGCTGCACTTTAACTGCGTTGTAATGATAAAGCCCGTGGATGTGAGAGAGAGGGGAGATCATGATGACGTCCTTATCACAGGATTGTAGCATATGGGTGCAGGTTGTGCGTGTGTGTGCGTGTGCGTGTGTGTGACATGGCATTCACTGCGATTTTCTGCAGCCATAATCGCAGTGCATGACAAGTGTTATGCATCACATTTTAGACTTAATGCAGATTTTTATTTAATTTCATTTTATTTTTAATTCCCCAGAAATTAAAGATTTAACACACACAAACCAAAAAAAAAATCTTACACAATAGTCCCAAGTTTTAGAATCGATTAGGAATGAAATCCTCAGTGCACACAGGCTGTATTAGTTCATGATGCGATGTTGCATCTTTGCCACCCTGCTGCACCGTGATCTCAGCTCCACCAGAGGCCACCACTGCTTCCTTTGCTGTTAGAGTCCTGCTGTAACAGCAGATGCAAATCAATGTGCATGCACTGCTGTTAGTCCTGGATGGATTATTTTTTTGATTAGTGCGCCACTAATTCATGCAGCAGTGCAACATCCTTCACTTTTTTCAGTTACTGATTAAACCCCTAAAAACTCATCTCTGTGCATCAAAGTTACATATTTATCATTTTCCCCCCATTAAAAATAACCCCATCCAGCTTTCAAATGGTTTAGATGTAACTCATTCCTTCCTGTAGATCTATGAAGTCTCCATTTCTCCCTCCAGTCAGCCCTTGCCATTGCTGCAGCTCCAGCACACCAGCTCACCCGTGACTCTGCTCCATCGCTGTAAAGCTACACAATGACTAGTTGTAATGATGGAGTTATTCAGCCACACGTGTTTGAACTATTACTGAACAATGACTAGAAAAGTCCAACCGCACACATCGACAGAACTGGATCCTTAGATTTATTGTGTTTAAAAACCTTAAAGTCTGATTGTGTTTTTCAGACTGTCATTTGTACACTGCAGGTTTAAGGTGGAAATGTTATAAAATGCAAATTAAAAAACACCATATGGACATATTCACAAAGTAAATTTAAAAAAGGGTCTTTAAGTAACAACATTGATGCCACATTGTTAAAATAATCCAGTGCAAATGCAAATACTGCATTGAAACTATTACTTAAATAAAATAATATGACCACACAATTGTACATAAAGTACTAAAAGTAAAAGTGATCAATGAATGCAGAACAATGGCCCTGTGACTGATGAATGATTAAATCATGTATTATTAGTTAATATTGCTGCTGCATTTTAGTGTAGTTTAGGCAGAATTTTAGGGTTTTTTAAATTATTATTTCTATTAATATATTTAACCTATTTTGAAGGAATGCGCGATGATTTTGGCAACTCATCCCTATCAGTCAATAAAGGGTTTAAAATTAAACATAGGCCCAAAATAATAATAATAATAATTTATAAAATTTATATTGCGCTTTTCTGGACACTCAAAGACGCTTTACACTGTCAATTATTCATTCACACACATTCATTCTGGTGGTGGTAGCTACGATTGTAGCCACAGCTGACCTGGGGCAGACTGACAGAGGCACGGCAGCCATTCTGCGCCTACGGCCCCTCCGACCACCACCTCAAACAATCCATTCATACACATTCACACCAGGCAAGGTGGGTGAAGTGTCTTGCCTAAGGACACAACGACCATGAAACAGGTTACAGGGCGGAATCAAACCGCCGACCTTCCGATCATCGACCGACTCGCTCTACCACCTGAGCCACAGCTGCCCCAAAATGCACACTGACGGGCGGAAAAGGTAGTTTTGTTTGAAGCGGTTACATAAAAAATATGGCATGCTTTACACACAAGTCAAAGTAGTTGTATTATTTTGCCACATAAATGTGAATTTAAAAAGCATTGTATTGTTTGTCTAATTCTACTTGCTCAATTATCCTGTAGTTAGGTGGGAAAAAATAATGGGCATATATAATATAGGAAACTGGCTAAAATGAGTTGGAGAACATTGGCAAAAAACAATAATTTGCTACTATTTTGTATATGCATGCAACTAGTGGTCATTTTGTATTTGCTATAAAGTGGTTCATTAATAACAAAGTGTAATATTTGATAAGCACTTTATGTGTTTTTGTATGAAAAAACCTTAATTTTGTGGTGGAACGTGTCTTTTCACTGTCATCAGTCCCTCTGAGTTTCTGTAAAACCACATTAACAATTATTTATTATCAGTATTTCAATTGTTGGCTCCTGTCTGTTCAAACTGCTCCCTGAAAAGTACCATTTTTGTAGATATATGAAATTATTAGAGGAAAAAAAAGTGAATCTTGTTTAACGTGTCGACATTGTTCACCAACATGAATGCTGAATGGCGTTAATAAAACCACAGCGGCCGCTTTGTTTGCTTGCATTTCTCGAAACTTTTATTGAACACATCAAAATGGTAAAATATTCGACTCTTGTACAGACAGTAATAATTTAAATAAATACCGTGATTAATTATCGTTTAACAAACGCAATAAGCAGTATCGTCAAAGGAACACCTAAGGCTTCTTGACTTGTTCTGGCGTATTCGTCGTTGTTCTAGCGATTACAGGGGAGGTTAAATAAATGCATTAATAAGTAAATAAGCAAACAGCAAACAGTTGATTATTTTCATTTGGCATCATCACAGTCATTAGTGAAAACTTTTAAATTGTACAATCATTTCTGCAAAGTGCTTTGTGACAATATGCCTCACGAGAAAAAGGGGGAGTTGTAACGTTTGAATCTGTCTTTAGATCTCGATGCCTGCAGCTTTTTCTTTCATCACATGGAGGAGCAGTTCAAAAAAAAAAAAACCCAAGGCATCCCCATATCATCATCATCAGAAATAAATCTCTATGGCACTACATCAGGATGCGTGATATGGTTTGGAAATATATTGTTTTCACAGACTTTACATTGCACTGTATAACTGTTTAAATACCATATTGTAAATAATACCAAAAAAACAGTTTACACAGCACAATGCAAATCTGAATTCACCCAACTGGTGTGACGAGTAGTGCTGAGCAACATCGCACCGACAAAATCAAATAATCAACAGGATTTTGAGCCTCCGTGTGTCGGGAGGTTTGCTGGGTTACAGGAGTAAGGCAGTCAGCACAGCCGAGAACGTTTAAAAATCGTCGTGGTGAAAAAACGTTGCTACAAGAATGAGTTTCAAATTCATTGTCTTGAAGGTTTGTTGTCGTAATCACAGTGTGAATTGTTCCACCTTTCCAGCGTCCTTCCCAATTGTAAAGTCTGCATCCGCTCGCGTCGCATCGGGTCCTTCGGAGGTTTTTAAAGCAAGCCGTCTTGCTCGAAAACGGAGGGCAGCAGGGAGAAGTCGAAGGGCACGAACTTGACACCAGTTCCGTGGTAGAATTTGTTCTGAAACTCCACCCTGAGATCAAACGGGAAGAAAAATTAAACGTCGCTTTATTTTCACACCAAT